TTTAGCTGTCCAATTAATTTCTTTCTATTTTTGGTAGAGACGGGGTCTCACTCTTGCTCAGGCTGATCTCGAACTCCTGAGCTCAAACAATCCACCTGCCTCGGCCTCCCAGAGAGCTAGGATTACAGGTGTGAGCCACCGCGCCCGGCCTAACCTTACTTTTGTGACTAAAAAGTATGTTCAGCCATTTCCTTTCATTTCATGAAAGTGTTTTTTTTCCTGCTTTTCTCCTGTTTATTAAAAATATTTATATAACATATGGCAGTATAGTTGAAAATGGAGAGAAACAAATACTTTTTGGCAAAATTATGAATTTTTTTTTTCTTATTCTCACCTGAGAAAAAATTATGAATTTTTAAAGCTGGCAAATAGTATTACTTCCATTTCAGTTCTTTTCTTCTGGCTCTCTGAATGTCTATTATGTTTAGAGCAATTTTCGAAGCCAGAGGGCTCCAAGGAAAAAATGGCTTTTGTTTCATACAGAAAATGTTCTGAAAATATAATTCTTTATTATTCAATATTTATTACTTAACTTTTAAAAGTACTAATATTACATTGTTGTTAGTTTGAACTGTTAAGAAATGTTTGCTTTAAGAAATTCTTGGCAATATGAAAATTTTTAAAAAGCATACCATTTGTTCCAAGGTTATTTTTAACATTTGTGAATATTATTTTTCCTTCTACAGGAGAAGGTGGGACATTGGTTGATAGAGGAGATAATACTTATGGAGGAAAATGGGTCATAAATCCTAGCGGTGGATTGATTGCAAAGGGACACCCACTGGGAGCTACAGGTAATACTACACACAGATTTCATAAATTTTTAAAAATAATTTTGCCACAAGTATGAACGATTTAATCATTGATTTGAATGGAAGATTGTATTCTCTGAACTTGGTAGCTGGTGCTTTAAATGATTGTTTAACTATAATATTTTAGATTTTCCTTTAAGTACAGTACACTTCAATAATCTTGATTAATTGATGAGGATTTGAATTGATTGAAACTCTAAATTCAACAATATATATATTTAAAAGTTTGATTATTTTCAGATATAGGTATATAACTTAACTAATAGGATGTTTCCAAATAGAGATCTTGCTAGACCTGCTAGATAAGAATCATTTGAAATGAGCACATTATTTTTATGTAGTTGTATACATGATTGGTGTTGCATGGAAATTATTTTCTCTTTAGCCAACAGTACTAGAACTTTTGAAATGAGTATTTTGCTATGGCTCTGCTGTTGACTTGTCATGTGACTATTTTTATCAGTCAATTAATCACTTTAACTCTTAGTTCCTTAATTGTAAAATGACAAACTTGTACAATGACGTTCCTAAAATAACTTTTAACACTAAAATTCTGTGATTTATTTTTGTGAAGATAGGTAGGTTTTGTGTTTTTTCCATATTGCCTTATTATATTAGTTAATTAATTTAATACAATTTAATAAATTCTGAAGTAGAGAA